AACCGACTGCGCCACCCAGGCGCCCCTGTTTTTTTAAGACATAATGGTATTGTGCATTTAATAGGCTGCAGTATAGCGTAAGCATAACTTTTATATGTGCTGGGAAACCAAGTTCCTTGGACTCATTTTAATGCATTACTCGCTTTATCTCAGTGATCTAGAACCAAACCCACGGTATGTTGTGGTATGCCTGTCCAAATCCTTTATCAGATATGTGTTACACAAATATTTTCTGTTTATGGCTTATCTTTTCATTTTCTAAACAGTGTCTTTTACAGAATGGAAGTTTTTAATTTTAGTGACGTTCTACTTACGAACTTTGTGTTTTGTGGATTGTGCTTTTGGTGTTATAGACAAAAAGGCATTGCCAAACCCAAGATCACCTAGATTTTCTTCTATGTTACCTTCTAGGAGTTTTATAGCTTGCATTTTACATTTAGATAATATGGTCCTTTTTTTTTTTTTTTTTTTTTTTTAATGTTTGTTTAGTTTGAGAGAGAGAGGCAGAGGGAGAGACGGAGAATCCCAAGCAGACACCACGCTCAGAGCAGAGCCCGACGTGGGGCTTGATCTCACAACTGTGAGATGATGACCTAAGGCAAAATCAAGAGTCAGATGCTTAACTGACTGAGCCACCCAGGCGCCCCTGTTGTCCCTTTTAAGTTAATTTTTGTGAAAGGTGTAAGGTCTGTCCGGATTCTGGTTTGTTGGTTTTTTTTTTTTGCTGTTGTTTTTTTTGTTTTGTTTTGTTTTGCTTTTTTTTTGCATGTGGATATGTGGATGTCCAGTTATCCATCGCCGTCTGCTGAAAAGACTGTCCTTTCTCCATTGCATTGCCTTTGCTCCTTTGTCAAAGATCAGATGACTATGAGGGCTTATTTCTGGGCTCTCTGTTTGCTCTCTGTTTTGTTCTATTATTCTATTTGTTCCTTCATCAATACCACACTATAGTGATTGTTGTATCATTTTAGCAAGTCTTAAAGTAGGGTAGTGTCAATCTGACAACTTTGTTCTTCAACATTATATTGGCTATTCTGGGTCTCTTGCTTCTCCGTGTACATTGTAGAATCATTTTGTTGATATCCACAAAATAACTTATGGGATTTTTGTTGGGATTACATGAACTCTAGATCCAGTTGGGAAGAACTGACATCTTGACAATATTAACCTTCCTATCTGTGAACCTGAAGTTTCTCTCCATTTATTTAGAGTCTTTGATTTTCTTCATTCGTCATGTAGTTTTTCTCATATAGAGCTCATACATGTTTTGTTAGATTTATACTTGAGTATTTCATTTTGGGGGGAGTACTAATGTAAACGGAATGTAATTTCAAATTCTAGTTGTTCATCACTAGTTTATAAGAAAGCAGTCAACTTTTGTATATTAACCTTGTATCCTTCAGCAATGCTATCACAGTTGTATTTTAGTTCCATTTATTTTTACATGGATGGAACTTTTCTTTTGATCTCTACAGAGCACTCTGCATGGTTCTCCGTGTTAAGTTTTATCCTGTGTTATTTAATGCCTAACAAAGCCCAAACTTACTAAATCATTTCTTACCTGCTTTATTTCTCTTTGTAGTTATATATAAAACCAGATTTTTCTTAAACATTCCTTTCAGCCTTTATTTTCCTTTGAAGGTTAACTGGTAGAGTCTTAAAGTAACTTATACATTGTTTCAGAGGGAAAAGTCAAAAGAGAAAGGATTTACCGATGCAACAGAATCCTTGATAAACCAACTCAATAAGAGATATAAGCCCAAGGATGACATAAAGTCTACAAGAAAATTCAAAGAGTCTTTGATTGATGGGTATGTACTTAAATTTTAGACATAAATATTTTTTTGACAGATCCAACTAAATTATTTCACAGTTATAAGAAAATTAGTTTTGAACATGTTCAAATAGTATAACTTTCTAGTAGAAAACACCTAGTTACTTTTGTAAATAGTAGCTGTTTTAATTATACAGGAAGGGAACTAAATTTGAAATTAGTCATTGTAGTATGTGATTATATTTTATAAAGTATCAAAATACCGTATTGATAGAGCATACCTTTTCATAAGTCTTTAGGCTATAGACATTTTTAGATTTTATTTATTGAGCCTAGTAATGAGTAAGACTAAATACGTGTACATATGTTGCTTGAGCGGAATAGGAAATCGAAATGAGCTGAGCTGAGTTGCTTTCATATAATAAATCTGTTATTTTTTGTCTGCAGTCTTTCTGAAAGTTAGGTCTTTTCTTATTAAAAGATGTTTCTTTATAGGTTGTAGGTGGTTAATTCACGTCTAAATTAATTCTGGCCTTATTACAAGGCATGAAACACTCTCATGGCAGAACCATTCATTTCAAATTGCTTGGCACCTTTTGCCGCATGCGTGGTTCATCTTAGAATTAGCAGTCATGGTTGCTGTTTACGAGGAGGGAGGTTGCAGGATTATGAGACTAGTCTTGTCACACTGCAGTTATTTACAGCGTACCGAATGTAAACTTAGCGATCCAAATGTTTTACCTTATATAACATGGCTTTTACGAAGAACATTCCACTGATGATTGCTTTTTTCATTTTGACAATATCTTTTTTATAGTGGTTTTTCAGACAAATCTGATCTACAGCTCAGTAAGGTAGGTTATTTCACTACACCAAATGTATAGTCAAACTCTGATAACTGTAAACATAAAATGGAAGCACAGTAGGATGGAGTTCATGTTTTCAGCATGTTGATAAATGGGTTAAACAACTGCAAGTTTAGTGACAAGTACTCAAGAGTCCTTTCTGTTCTGCTTTTCAAAATAAAAGTTCCTTTTTCTTAAGTTATTTATTTACTTCTTTTGAGAGAGAAAGAGACTGAGAGAGAAGGGGCAGAGAGAGAATCCCAAGCGGGCTCTGCACTGGCAGTGCAGAGCCCAGTGTAGGGCTTGATCTCACCAACTGTGAGATCATGACCTGAGCTGCAGTCAAGAGTTGGACACTTAACTGACCGAGCCACCTAGGTGCCCCCAAAATGTTTCTTTTACATGTGTGAGTGTGATATTTTCACTTTCTGCCTTGTGATTCAATAAATCTTTGTTTTCATTTGTTTTCCTTAGCTAATCTCATCTCTTCTGATAAGAAGATCTTTGTTAACTCTGTATCTCTGTTAAAAAAAATTATTTATGCAGGCTTAAAATACCAATTGCCTTTGAATTATTCCTCACAATTGCTTTCTATCCATTTAATTTCAAGTTTTGAGGTTCACCTTCTGTACGTTCCTCTTAAATCACCCTCTGCCGCCTTATGTAGCTCCTTTATCCTAGTTTGGGTTCTAATTTCTAATCCCTGGATTATTGCAGTGGCATTTGTGTAATTTTTTTTGCCTCTAGTATTTCTCTTGTCAGTCCGCCATCCTGTTCAGTGCCAGCTCTTTCTCTTTTTTTT